TGGAGTCCCTCTGAGTGGCATCAGCAAAGAAGAACTGTCTCTCCCCTCCCCTCCCCTGCAGGGAGGTCTGAGCAGAAGGAGGCCCCCAAGGTGCCACTGACCACGGACAGCAGACAGCAGGCCTCCGTGGGGGTGCGGCCCCCGCTCCAGCTGCTGCCTGTGTGCGCACAAGCCGAGTGCCGGGCGGGACCCCTGCCGCCGCTGGGCCGTTTGCACTTGGCAGGACTGGATGGAGATGAGGAGGGTTCGGCAGAGGCCCAGGCTCAGGATGGCCCCCACAGTCCCCACCGTCACTAACCTGCCCCCCGTCCCCCGCCTGCCCAGCAGGATTCCTCGTCCGCTATTCCCTGAAGTCACCAGCTTCCACTGCGCTGGGCTCCAGGGCCACCCACCTCCACCCTCCTCTGGCCCCAGATGGGACAGTCGCTTGCCCTCGCCTCCCTCTCGCCCCCAGGCCCGCTGGGCTCGCTGTAAAGTTGCATATTTATTGAGCTTTGATTCTTTTATAAAGACTTGTACATACGCCACTGGAAGGAGGCCTCTGCTTTCGGAACCCACCCCTTTCAGGACTCATCTGTGGTGGGGCACCGGGGGAGAGACCGCGGGGAGCAGCAGTGAATTAGAGGGCAGAGGCCACCAGCCCAACACCCCAAAACCAACCCGTCCCCTACACAGCCATGAGGTCCACCATTGGAGCCCCTCGTGGTGCCCGCCTGGGCTGCCCCGTGAGCGTAGGCTGGGTGGGCGACCTGTCCTGGGCTCACCGGGGTCTCTCTGGGGCTCCTCTCCAGGGGAGGGGCCCCTGCACCCACACCTTACAGCATCTGCAGGGGCCTGGCTCTGAAACGCCGTGGAGGAAGTTACTTCACCCCGGAGTGGTGGTCTCGGGGCTGAGGCTGGAAGCCAGGCTGGGCACCAGGGCAGCCCTGTGCTCTGTGCACCTTGCTGCCCGCCCCCCCAGGTCAGGGCTTCACTTCCAGGGCCCCTGGGCTGTTCCCCGACCCCCACCACCGAGGCAGGCAGGCTCCCGGGGTGGCAGGGGGCGGGCCCTGCGGCTGGGTGCTGGGCCGGAACTGCGGTGGGCAGGGCGGGCTGAGTGGGGAAGCCCCCGCAGGCACACGCCTGTCCTGCCCCTTCCAGTTGCGCTTGAGGGCCCAGAGCGGCGAGGCACCGGGCCATGGACCGGCAGCCCCGACGCTGGGCGGCAGTGGTGGCTGCAGTGAGTGGGGATGGGGGGTGGGGGGGCGGCCTCAAGTCTCTGGGCCTGGATCTGCGCGGGGAGGAAGGGGTCCCGCGAATAGCGAATATCTGAAACTTGCTCCCAGACTCGCTGGGGGTTGGGCAGGCCCTGCCCTCTGACCTAGTTAGAGGCTCAGCCAGGGCGGGCTCTTCCGACCAGAGGAAGCACCCTGCCAGGGTCCCTGAGGTCTGGAGGCCCTGGAGGGAGAGAGCGGGGTCCCTCGGGCAGGGGTGGGGCTGCCTGATGCCGCTGCTGGAGGGGCCCTGTGAGGGGCTGGGGGAGCCCTCCTCTTGCCCAGCCGGGCCTGTCTCCCTGTCTCATCCCCACCCCCTGGGCACCCCTTCTGCCCAAGAACCTGAGAAGTGGGCTGCTCTGAGGGCAACATCCTGGGGCCCCTGACGCTGGGGAGACTGGGCAGGGAGAGGCCGTGCGCGGGGAAGCCATGCCCACGCGGGAGCCAGCAGCCCCTGTCTCCCAGGCCCTCCTCCTGCTCCTGCTGGGCGCCCAGGGCCGGGGCGGCACCCCCAGCCCCAGGTGTGACTGTGCCCCCGACTTTCGGAAGAGGACGGGTCCGCTCTGCTGCAGGGGCTGCCCGGCAGGCGAGTGGCTGCGGGGTGAGGGTGGGGTGGGGGGTGGGGGGGAGGCGGGGGCTAGGGGTGGGGGTGGGGGAGGGGAGAGAAGTAGGGAGCACAGGGAGGGAGGGAGGGAGGGAAGGCGGGAGCCCCTATGACTCTGACCCCAGCCTGGGCTCCACAGGGCATTACCTAGCGGCCCGCTGCACAGAGCCCTGGTGGCAACGCCACCTGCGTCCCGTGCGCCCAGGGCACCTTTCCTGGCCCGGGAGC